AAACAAGAGGGGAGCATTAATGAGCGGAGGCCAAACTGGGGCCCAAACCCTAGTAAAACCAATGATTTTGGCATTCTCGCCGAGGCTTCTTGGAACATCTTGGGTGCCTCTGGGGGGTCTCTTGGGGCCTCTTGGGGGTCTCTTGGGGGCCTCCTTGGGGCCTCTTGGGGGCCTCTTGGGGTCATCTTGGGGCCATCCTGAAACCTTCTGGGGCCTCCTGGGCGCTTCTTGGGGCCATCTTGGAGGAGATCGATCAAACAAGAGGGGAGCATTAATGAGCGTCCCCCCCAGGGAGGCCAAAATGGGGCCCAAACCATAGTAAAACCAATGATTTTGGCTTCCTCGCCAAGGCCGTTTTGGCATTCTCGCCGAGGCTTCTTGGAGCACCTTGGGTGCCTCTGGGGGGTCTCTTGGAGCCTCTTGGGGGTCTCTTGGGGGCCTCCTGGGGGCCTCTTGTGGACCTCTTGGGGCCATATTGGGGCCATCTTGGGACCTCTTGGGGCCTCCTGGGCGCTTCTTGGGGCCATCGCCTAGCATGTGCAGCACGCGCAATATCTCCTACAGACGTGCACACACTTACACGCAGAAAGGCTCCAATCGCCGACGAACATCAGAAACAAATATAGCAAGTAACAATGTGGTGGCTTCCGTGCATCCGTGTATCTGAATGAGACTCCAATGGTGCCAGTGCTGCGTTCCGCAATCACTTGGCCAAGCACACTTTGCACCCAGAAAATGTAAACTAGAACTCGCAGCTTGCAGCGCCGCATGGACCGCGGACCAACACACGGCCCATGCAAATGCTCTGGCCGGCATCGCGACGGGCCTCGGACGAGCCAGAGACTTCCCAGCTCAGCTCACGCCCATCCTCCCCTGGACCCTCGCGCGGCCCGCGAGTTCCTCGGCCCTCGGCCTAGTCCATCAGCGAAGGCTGCTCAGCTCAGGCAGCCGCTGACGGAGCAGCCTTGGACTTGGCCTTGGACTTGGCCTTGGACTTGGGCTCCGTCGGCTTGGACTTGGGCTCCTGCGGCAGGTTCTCATCTGGCTCCTTCGGCTTCTCCTGCTGCTGCGGGTCGGCGCTGGTCGCAGACTTGGGCTCCTTCGGCTGGTTCTCCTCTGGCTCCTTCGGCTTGTCCTGCTTCTGCGGGCCGGTGCTGGTCGCGGACTTGGGCTCATTCGACTTCGGCTGGTTCTCCTGTGGCTCCTCCGGCTTCTCCTGCTTCTGCGGGTCGGCGCTGGTCGCCAGCGCCGGCTGCGTGGGCTTGGCCCCGCCGCCGTTGGTGGAAGAGGCTCCGCCAGACTCGCCAGACTCCTGGCTGGGCGGCCCCGCTGCCACGGTCGACGGGTCCACGATCTCTGGGGAGGGCAGTGGCGCAAGCTGCTGCTCTGGCGCTGGCTGCTGCTCTGGCTGCTGATCTGGCGCTGGCTGCTGCTCTGGCTGCGGCTCTGGCTGGTGGCTGCTGCTCTGCTGCTCTGCTGCCGCGGCCGCAGCCTGGGCCTCCTGAGAACCATCACCATCGCCCTTCTGGGCCTTGAGCTCTGCTGCGGCTGTCGCTGGCGTATTCTCCTGGTTCTCAATCTTGTCCTCACCATTCTGCTCCTCGGGCTTTTTCTCTGCGGGCCGCCTGGCGATGTGCCCAATCGAAGCTGCCCCCGACGCCGAGGCTGCCACGGCATCCGCCGGCGCCGCCAACACCTATAGGGTCAAGCAAGAAGAATGTGAATGACGCGTTCTGTGGATTCGGCGGCGAGCAATGGGGGGAAGTAAAAAAAGAGAAGGCCTTCTCAGAAGGCGTCGGGGCTTTTCAGAAGGGCTCGGGCCTTCTGAGAGGTTTTCTGCGTCTTCGGGGAAGGCTTAGAAAACCTTTCAGAAGGCCCGAGAACTTCGGAGCCATCTGAGAGGGACCGTCTCTTCTCAATTCCTGCCCAGGCCCGCCGCCGATAGATGCACGGACGGCGAGCTGATCGCATCGGCCAGCGCATGCATTTAGGACTTAAGATTCTGAATAGATCTGGTTATCTGACCTGACCTGTCCGATATCTGTGCCACAGGGTTGGTGCAGTCACATGTAAATATCAGTTCAATGCGCAATCATTCCCTGTCTCGCCAACACCTATGACAATTAGATCTGGGTTCGCGTTCCAAGTCACCTTGGGACTGTTGTCAAGCTGCATCTGTTCCAACAGGGTCTTGAGCAGCTTGTGCTCCTTGGCCAGGTTCTCATGGATCTTGGAGAGGTTGCTGACAGTCTGGAGGTCTCCGTCCAGCACGCCCACACGAAAGCCCACGTAGTTCGGGTGACCGACGATGCGCTCAATGAAGTAAGAACCAGGTGGCATGTAAAGAGCTTCGTGAGGGGCCATGGTGACCTGCCAAATCGGGTACTGCGCGTTGTTGTGGTAATCGGTCAGCTGCTCCTTGCTCATGCTAATGAAGAACGACTTGGCCTGCTTCATGCAGATGCCCTTGCTGTCAGGAGTGGACAGCTTCGTCATGTACTCGTACAAATCGGAGAGCCGGACGATGACAATCTCGCGTGTGCCCGCGAGTCCAAAACGTAATGAGCCCATGAAGTTCTTCTCGACGGTTGGCGGTGTAATAGTATTCTTAGCCATGACAACCCCGTACGGGCGCATCGCTTCCACCAGATCCGAGTTGACGTTGTCAGGGAGACCTGGGGCGCTTCCTGATTTCAGGTGTTTTGCGTAGCTGGTGATGATGTCCGAGATCTGAACAGGCACTGGCTTCTGCGCCCTCTCCATCCCGCCATTCGCAGAGTGCTGCGAGAACTCCTTCTCCAGCCCATCGAATATAAATCCCCTCACGGCCTGGCGGACTGCCGAAGCCTACAGTTTAAGACCATCGCAATTGTGAGAAGAGAGATTGGATCGCGCAGATCCCCCAACCAACCGATTTATATTTGAGCACTTGCTTGGCAAGCAACGCCCTGGAAGGTGTGAGGTCGCCTCGCAATCTAATCTCCTCCTATCACAGTTGCGATGGTCTCAAACAGTAAGCTTAGACACTCACCAATCCTTGTCCTTCTCGCAGGCAGCTCGGCACTCAGGGGAGCCAATGATGACGGCAGGCACGTTCACGAGGAACTCGCCCGTCTCCTCCTTGATCTTCAGCTCGTTGGACGAAAACCTCGGCACCTCGGAGCCGTGCTGCTTAGAGAATTCCAAGAGACAGGCTGCTGGGTTGCTGTCTGTGCTTACCTTTGACGACTTTTTCGAAGGTGCTTTCCGACTTGCCCTCCACGTCTCCAGAGCTTTTTTTGCCTTGGTGAGGTCGCCCAGGGCCTTCCTGCAGTTCTTGATCAGATCCGTAATTGGCACCTTGTGCAGGGCGCACTTCTTCTTGATATCAAGTATATCGGGCTTGTTGTCGCAGGCATTGATGGTTGAGGCCTGGTCCTCCCACTCCTTGAAAGTGACTAGCTTCTTGTACTGCCCGCATGGCGGGGCCGACCCGAGGGCAGCTCCTCCGCCTCCACTGGCACTCGAAGCAGCCCCCTGCCAAGGACTGCAAAAGAAAACGCCGACGTGGCAGTGGCACTTGGACCCGGTCAGTGCTGAGGCCAACGGGGGCTGGCCCGAGTCCGCGTCTAGCCGCCTAGGGCCCTCGAAAGCGCCAGGGGCCAAATGTGCTGTCCCGGAGGAGCCTTCAGAAGCCTGAGACAGATGAAAGCTCCTCAAGCCTCAATCCACGAAGCTGAGAAGACAAGTGACGAAGTACGCCGGGCAAAAACGGACGCGAGCAGCCAAGCGAGAGCCTTCAACTGAAATCAACTAAGATTCCATGGCATGAGAGACCATATCCTCCATCCTCCCTCCTTTTCCTCATCAGCCTCCCCATGTTCCTCCTCTCCTCCTGCGTCCTGCCTATGGTTTCCAAGTCTCCACCTTAGGCTCGAAAGCCGCGATGTAGTCGCGGAGCTTATCGGCGTCGCCGAAAAGGAGAGACAGTGCTTGAAGCCGGTTCTGAGATATCTTCTGGTCACCGTCGAAAAATTTAGCCTCATCTGGCTTCGTGGCGTCAATGGCCTTCAGCTCAGTCTCCAACTCGTCTCTGACTTTCGTAGCATCTACCTTGCTTGCATGTTTCGCATTCGACGTCCACGCCAATCTTGTGGAACCCATTGGTAACCATTTTTGGCAGCCCCACTTCGCCAAAGATGGTCTGAAGTCCGGAGTCTGAAGCATGGCGCCAAAGATGGTCTACTAATGGGTAACGAAAGGTCGGCGCAGAGCGATAGATTCGAATGCGTGGCCTTCACGCCCTTGATCAGCTCCGTGGCGGTCTTGAAGGTGTTCGTGACAAGCCTCTCGTCGAACCACTCGGGCACCCTGGGGCCCTTCTTGTCCTTCTTCTCCTGGTGCTTCCCCTTCTCGTCCCCGGCCTCGCCCCTGGTGCTCTTCTCGTCGTCGCCGTCGGCGTCCACATCATCGTCAGATTCACACTCACTGCTGCTGATGGGCGCTAGGGCCTCTATTTTTGCGAGTCCAGCGTTGGCGTCCTCGAAGGCTTCGCCGCCCTTGCCACCCTTCACCATGGAACGAGCCACGTCACAGAGATCCAACGCGGCTGCCCCCTGGCCAATCTTGTTATGGTTGACCATGGTCTTCTTCACCAGTTTGTCGATATCCTCCGTCTTGGGCTTCTTGATGGCAGCGTCCTCACCTGAGTTCGATTCAGACTGGGGACCTGCGAACGACAGAAGCCCAAGTCAAGATCGGATATCGCGAAGCATCAAAGCTGTACTGTACTGGTGCCCCCTGAAGACCCGAAAACGACAGCATCAAGGTTGCCCACAGCGCCTCTGAATGATCCGAACTCGGACTTCGGTTCTGTGCGGCGATCGAGCCCTCAATGAACCTAAATCGCTCGACAGCCAAGCGATATTGTGGACTCTGAGTCTGAGTCACATGCAAGTCCTCAACGCAAGATGCACAATCGCTTCAGCGAATGGGTTGTGCCACAACCCATTCGCTGAAGCGATTGTCCATCTTGTCGTCAGGGCACGCGCCGGGTCTGGACTCCAGACCAAAGGCTATGCTAAGACCCAGGCAATCCACGGCTTTCTTCCGCTTGAAGGAAGAGCCGTAGTCAACGTCGTCGTAGGTGTGGACCCGGATGCGGAGAGGCGCCTTCTCGGGGCCGTCGTTGTCCCAGAGTGCGTCGTCCTCCTTCGCCTTGACCGACTCCACGTCCCACTTCGCTTTTGCTTGATCCTTGGTCATCTCTCCGCCGTCGACTGTCTGCCAGAAGTCCGTGGCCTGCTTTTTCCACATCATCCTGCCGCGGGCGTAGTTCTTCACACCAGAAGACACCTCTACCGATTCCTTGTACTTGACGAGGCTCCAAGTGTGGCTTTTCTTGGCAGTCCCATCGGCCTCACATGCAACTTCCTTGTAGCTGTCCAGCATCTTCTTGCACTTGTTGCAGTCGTCGCGCTGAGTAGCGAACCACGATTCTTTCCCTTGCCTCTTTGCCATCTTGCCGATGGCATCGAGCTTTCTCTTGCAACCGAAGCATTTGGACTGGTTCAGTGCGAACTGGTCAAGAGGCTTGGTCTCGTGGCAGCCCCCGCAAAAGCGTTTGCCTTTCTTGCCGCTTGCTTTGTGCCGGTCTGGGCCCTTGTTCTTCAGCACCGCCTTTTTGACAGTTTTGTCCTTCGTCCTCTGCTTGGCGGCAAGAGCAGCCGCGGCCTTGCGGGCCGCGCTGCTGGACGCCTCCGACTTTCCCGGGGTCTCCGCAGGCTTCTCGTTTGCATCGTCATCTGAGGGCTCAGGTGAGGAATCATTTCCCAAGGACTCGTTGTCAATCTCCATGCTCATGTCACGTGTAAGCTGCGATTGGATGCCAGCGCCTATCCGCGACTGGGCGAGGTAGCGCCTAGCGCTTGCCAGTCCTGAACCATAAAGCTATAAAATACGTCAGATAACAGAGACAGTCCTGTGTAAGAAGCTCTCAGGGTCGCATATGCAATAAGCATGCAGTACACATCAGACTGACGGGGCCGAACGGTCTTAGTAAAGTGGGGATCCGCGGTGACCCGGTGAGGCGTGAGGATCCTTCTTCTTTCCTATTGTTTGTCTTTTGCTGCTCTCTTTCTTCATTATCATTATTATTATGTGTGTCATTTTTTCTTTTTATGTGTTTTCGTATTGTTATGTTTGTTGTTGTTGTAGCTGTTGTTGCAGGTCCTGCTGCTGTTTCTGATCATGTTGCTGTTGCTGTTGCTGATGCTGTTGATGTTGCTGCTGGTGTTGTTGCGGTTGATGCTGGTGCTGGTGTTGTTGTTGGTGGTGTTGTTTATGTTGCTGTTGTTGCTGTTGTTGCTGTTGTTGCTGTTGTTGGTTGTTGGTGCTGCTGGTATGGTGTTATTGCTGTCGTCGTTGTTGTCGTTGTTGTTTTGGTTTGTTGTTGGTGTTGCTATTGATGACGTTGTTGTTGTGGTTGTGGTTGTGGTTGTGGCTGTTGTGGTTGTCGTCGTCGTCGTAGTCGTCGTCGTCGTCGTCGTCGTCGTCGTCGTCGTCGTCGTCCAGGCGGGTGTGTCGTGGCGCGGGTGGGTCGCGGCACGCGCCGCGCGGGTCGTGGCGCGGGTGGGTCGCGGTGGGTGGGTCGTGGCGCCGATAGGTCGCGTCGCGGGTGGGTCGCGGCGCGGGTGAGTCGTTCGGTCCCCTCAGTGTTCGGTCGGAGGTGAGTCGTTCAGTCCTCTCAGCGTTCGGTCGGAGGGGGCCCTAGGGAAGGCCCCAGAGGCCAGAGGGAGGGCCCCAAGACCGTCCAAGAAGGTCTAAGACGGCTCCAAGTTGGCGTCCAAGAAGGCCCCCAGAGGACCCCAAATCCGACGCCGACAGGATCAGGAGGGAGGCCCTTGATCTCTTGGAGCTGTCTTTGGGGCCCTCTTTGGCCCCTCTCTTGGGCTTCTCTGAGGAGGGCTGGTCGCGGGTGGGTCGTACCTGCACGCCCGCGCAGCCCCGCGCCCTCACTATTGAAATGGCCTCCGGCCAGTGCCGCCGATCCGGGGGGCTTCAGATGATGATGATGACGATGATGATGATGATGATGATGATCAATGATGATGATGATGCTGATGCTGATGATGATGATGATGATGTTGATGATGATGATGGTGGTGGTGATGGTGGTGATGATGATGATAACGATGACGACGATGACGACGATGACGATGACGATGACGATGACGAAGATGATGATGATGCTGATGATGATGATGACGATGATGCTGATGATGATGCTGCTGATGATGATGATAATGATGATGATGATGATGATGCTGATGATGATGATTATGATGACGACGATGAAGATGATGATGATGATGGTGGTGGTGGTGGTGTTGGTGGTGGCGATGCTGATGATGTTGATGTTGATGGTGATGCTGATGACGATGATGCTGCTGATGATGATGATGATGATGATGAGGCAATGAAGAGGATGATGATGATGATGATGATGATGATGATGATGATGATGATTTTGATCATGGCACTGACCATGATGTCGATCATGATGATGGTGATGGTGATGGGGATGCTGATGCTGATCCAAAATGCGCCGTCTTGGGGGCCTCCTGGGCCTGCGTAAGCCCTTCTTAGTCCGCCTTGGAGCCTTTTTGAGGGCCCCTTTAGCCGTTTTGGACACTTGGGGGTCCTTGGGGGCCAGTTGGGGCCTTTTGGGGCTTCATTCCCTTGCTCTGGCTGCTGGTACAAAGGACAAGCGACGATCGCAAGCCCCGCACACGTCGAACCACACGTGACCTGATCTGTCTGGAAGGGTTCTTTCTGTTGCTGGCCTGCAGTGGTGCGGGCGCACTGATACTTGTATGATGTACCCTACCTGGCAAGAACTCCCTCCACCAGCACGCGTCTGATGCGCGAATCGGCAGACGACCTCCGGGGCTGGCTGGGAGCGCCGACGCATTAAAAGCAACTTGGAACACTTGCGACGTACCGTCGCGAAATCGCTCACCTGTCCTGCCCCGCCGCCCCGGCCAAAAGCCAGAGGGAGGGGCCGGGTCCGTCAGCGTGGCAGCGCGGGCAGTGCGTACCGTCGCCGTGCACATCTGATCTTTGAGAGGTCAGAGGCCGACTGGAAATCTAAGAGGCTACCTCAGCCTCAGACTCAGAATAGTTGCTGACGCTGCTCACGATAATGAAAAGAAGGACGCTGCCGACAGCTGGCAGCGCCATGCCGTTGCCAACGAGCTTGGTCAAAGCCCGATTGGACATGGAGTCGATGATATCAATGACGAACAGATCCGCGAGCTCCTGGTCGTCAACCATCGTGGGTATAGGGATGCCCATGGCAAGGAAAAGCTCCTTGGGGTGAAACAGCCTGCCTTCCATCAAGTTGAACATTTTGCTGTTGCGCATGATGCATGGCATGACCGACCCCACGTATGGGCGAAACCCCGGAGCCTGCTGGGCGTCGATACTCACGTCTGCCTTGCCGCCACCGTCGAGATCCTCCTCGATAGCTAGCTCCTTGTACCCCTCCATGCGGATGCGGTCACCCGAATTCATAACATCGACGCAGATGTGTGTCTTACCTGACCGCCTGGGGGGGAGCCCGCGCTTGTCCGCCAGCTCATCCATGAACTTCTTGAGGTCGTTGGGGCCTGCCTGCATGTAGATCCTCGATGAGAGCATGCATTTGCGGATGACCAGGTCCTTGAAGCAGTCCTCCAGATTCATGGTCACGCCGTGCTTCTTTGGGAAGTAGCAATGCAAGTACTGCCGCACCCTGGACGTTGGCAAGCCGAGGTCCAGGGGAGAGAACGTCACTGGGCTCACGAACAGGCTGGGGCCGAAAACCAACTTGAAGAAATCCGCCGGCATCTTCGGCGTGCACTCGTTCAGCAAGTGGTGGGGGGCCACCGCTTTCAACCAGAATGCCCACACCTGAGTTCTCAATACAAGAGAGCCGATCGGATCGGCAGACATGCAAATCTCGGCGGCGAGCCCGGAGGGGAAGTGAGAAGGGGCGGGCCTCCTCAGAAGGTTCGGAGCCGGTTTTCTGAGAAGGGTTCTAAGCCTTCTCCGAGGACGCAGAAAATTTCTCAGAAGGGGCGAGGGCTTCTGAGAAGACCCGCCGCCTTCTAGATTCTGACCTTATGAGAGGGCCTTCTCCTTCTCACTTCCCCGCCTCGCCTGCCGCAGATGATCTGACCGAGGGTGCTCAGATTATCATGTGCATGCCATGTTCCACGGCTTACAGCGATATTCACAATGAGATCGCAAATGTCTTTCGGAATTCACGTCAACGGAGGGTCACAGACCGAAAGATAATTAGGGTCTCCAGGTCTCCACCCCGGGGCTATGCTAAGCTCTGCGCCAAGCACGGTATCGAGGCTTCGTCTAGCCAGCCCAAGCCAGACCCTACGATGCTCCACGGGGTGCAAGTGTTCCCAGCCACCTCTATCCACAACTTCCGCTTGTCGGTGATGACAGGCGTAGGGCAGCAGTCGCGCTGGTGCTTGACCTGAGTTGCCCCATCATGAGACAGAGAGCCCATCGAAATCATGCAGAACACAAATCCCCACGCGAACAAATACCCTTGCGAAGAATCCAGCCCTGTAAACGGGGCCGCCAAACGTGTGAGGGGTGCGCCGAAATAGACCTGAGTCCATGCAGACGCAGCCACTGGGGCCTTGGGTGGAGCTCCCTATGGGGCCACGAAACATGTGAGGGGTGAGCCATACTGGGCCCGAGTAGCCATACGGACGCAGCCGCTGGCGCCTTCTGTGGAGCTCCCAATGGGGCCACGAGACTGTGAAGGGTGTGCCAGAATGGACCTGCGTAACCATGCGGACCCTACCATTGGGGCCTTAGCTGGAGATCCTTCGGGACCACGAAACGTGTGAGGGGTGTGCCAGAATGGTTGAGTAACCATGCTGACGTAGCCACTAGGGCCTTCGGTGAAGCTCCGCATGGGGCCACGAAACGTGCGAGGTGTGCTCCGAAATTGGCCTGAGCCACCATGCGGACGCAGCCACTAGGTCTTTGTCTGGAGCTCACTATGACGATACAAAGCTTGTGAGGGGTGTGCCAACATGGACCCGAGTAACTATGCGGACGCAGCCATTGGAGCCTTCTGTGGAGCTCCCGATGGGGCTACGAATCGTGTGAAGGGTATGCCAGAGTGGACCCGAGGAACGATGCCATTGGGGCCTTATGTTGGGGGCCCCACTGAAGCCACGAAGCGTGTGAAGGGTATGGCAGAATAGACCCAAGTCACCATGTGGACGCAGTCCTTGGGGCCGTGGATGGAGCTCCTGATGGGGCCACGATGCGCGTGAGGGGTGAGCCGACATGGACCCGAGTAACACTGCGGACGCGGCCATTGGGTCTTTGCTTGGAGATCCATATGGCGCCACGACACTTGTGAGGGTTGTGCCATGAGGGGCCCGAGTAATCGTGCGCACGCTACCACCAGAGCCCAGAGCCTTGGGTGGAGCTCCCTATGGGGCCACGAAAAGTGTGGGAGGGAACCAGCATGGACACGAGTAACCATGTGGACGCAGCCGCTGGGGTCTTCTGTGGAGCTCACTACGGGGCCAAGGAACGTGTGAGGGGTGAGCAAGAATGGACTTGAGTAACAATGCGGACGCTGCTACGTCTGGGGCCTTCGGTGCATCCCCCTTATGGGGCTACGAGAGGTGTGAGGGGTGTGCCAGGATGGACCCGAGTAACCATCGTCTGCAGCCGCTGGGGCCTTCGCTGGAGCTCCCTATGGGGCCACGAACGTGTAGGGGGTGTGCCGAAATGGACCAGAGCCACCATGCGGACGCAGACACTGAGGACAGGAGAGGAAGCAAGGAGGGGAAGGAGGAATCGCGCGGCAGTGCGAATTCAAAACGATAAACCAAACACGCTGGAGTGTTGGGGAAAAAACATTGGCCCCATGAACCTAGCCTTCGGCGATGCGATCGGGCGAGCCTCGGGCCTCGACCGTGCGACCAGATCTGCAGGAGACTTACTGCATACTGCGGCTGCGACGCAGTAGAACTTCTGCCTCTTGGAGAAGCGCACTTGCCGCATCACCTCGAGCATCTCATGCAAGCACTGCTCCCCGAAAAGAAGCGCCAACCTCTTGCCCTCGGACCATTCCTTCCATTTCTTCTTGCCCACTTTGTGATCGTCAGTGGCTGCTTTGTTGTTCAGTTTGTTGATGTACTTACTTTGAATCTTCTTCAACTTGTTGATGGTGGCGCTCTCCACGCGGTCCAGCAAGTTCCCGAACACGTGTTCTGGCCCGGCGTCGCCCTTGAAGTTTTGCAGCATCGCCTGACAAGTCTCATCACTGTCCGTGGCCGCGTAGCTCTTAATGTTGCACTTGAGACCCTTCTTCATCAGTGCCGCCTCGATGAAGCGAGCAGCCTGTTCTGGACAACCCATGCCAGAATCCTCCCGCCCGGCCACGCGGGCTCAAGCGCATGCGCAGCATGGCCGACGTGGCTTGAGAAACGCCCTGAGCCCCCCAGGGCCCCCCGGGATCCAAGCGGTTAAGTGAGTCGCTTGGGAAGCGTTTGCAAATTTACACCAGCATAGTCAGAACTCAATCGGTGCTTGGGGGGCGGGCTAACAAGACCGAGGAGGGAAGTGCCCGACTGAGCGTATCCAGACCAAGCAAAAGCGATGTCTTTCAGCCCCAGACCCGGCAGCCTACGAACGCAACAACTGCACAAGCCTCAGAGCACCTTGCATGGACCGACGAGGGCAAAAAACTACAACAGACAAAGCGGTCCAGCTACTCAAAACGCGCGAAGCGCTATACATACGAAGTGGTCAAGACCACTGTGAGGCCCTCTGTCGTTGTCAGCTCATGATTTGGGGCCTTGCCCATCTGTCCCAGTCGTGCCAATATACTCTCGGTGTAGACGTGGGGCCAATCGAAAAGCTCCTTGATGCTGCTTGGTCCATTTGGCCTCTGGCGTTGATCAATAAAGTCAGCACTAATGCCACGGCCACGCATCTTTATCCTGCGACGTTTCACTGGAGGGCCGATCTCATCTTCCACATCTCTCTCCAACATAAATTTACCGAGTGACATGATGCAGTGTCTGGGTACAAAAAATAACCGAAGCGATCTCTGGCGCTTCTTGGTGGCAAACAGCTACGGACAATTGAAACAAGTATACGAAGGCCCAAGAAGGCTCCAAGATGGCCCTCCGGAGGTCCCAAGCGGGCCTCAGAACCAGCGGTCTGATACAGCATGTTTGCGGGCCTTGTTTGGGCTCTCTTGGGGCTTCATGTGGCCTTCTTGAGTCCTTCTTGAGCCCTTTGGAGGCCTCTTGGGGCTCTCTTGTGCCCCCGCGGGACATTCTTGGTGGCGCCATTGTGGCTCTCTTTGGGGTCCCCTGGGAGGCTTTTGTTCCTCATCTGGGTCTCGCTGGTGTGTTAGGCTTCCTGTCGAGAAGGCGGTTGGCCCGAGCCCCAAGCAGTGTTCAGAGTCGGCGGGGCTGATTCGCGCACAGCTTGAGAGAGAGATGACTAAGACAACAATTCAGGTGGAAGCTCCCATTTACCACGCGGAGTGCCTGGCACCCTCGAGGGAAGCGCTTCGGCGAGCTGTGCACCTTGGAATTTCACAAGACGCTTGCACCACTGGAATTCCGCAAGACGCTTGCACCACTGGAATGCCAAAGCCCCAAGAGGGCCCCAAGTGGACCCCAGGAAGGACCCAAAGGTGCTGTATCAAACCGTGGTTTAGATACAGCACCTCTGCGGCCTTCTTCGGGCCCTTCTGGGCCTCCAGGGGCTGCGGAATTACAGTGGTGCAAGCGTCTTGCGGAATTCCAGTGGTGCAGGCGTCTTGCGGAATTCCAATGATGCACAGTTCGCCGAAGCGCTACTCTCGTGGGTCTTCCAGGGGGCCATTCATGTTGGATCCCTCCTGGGCTTCGTTTAAATTGTGCGTGGCCCCAAAATGGGCCCAAGTGGACCCCAAGTGGCTTGGGGCCCTCCTGAAGCCCTCGTAGGGCCCCGAGGGGCCCCTAAGAGGGGCCGAAAGTGTTGCAAGAGGGCCTTGACGAAGAAGCGGTGCCTCCAGAGGCGTGGGCCCACATCGCACCACACAGGGCTTCATTCAGACATCAAATCATGTAAGAACCTCGCATAACATAACATGTGACAACACAGCGTGCTACAACGTAGCGTACATGGCAGTGCACGGTTGCGGCAGCATTGCATATTGCATATGATATCGTAACATATCGCCACAACATTGCATAGTGCTCCATGTCGCATCACAGCATAGCCCAGCATAGCCCGTCACAACATCGCAAAGCTTGACACATTGTAAACTACACAGAACCCTAAAGGGGGTGATTCGCATGAGCGGCATTGCCATAGCTAGGTGACCTAGCTATGGCAATGTCGATCTTGCGAATCACCCCATTGCGCCAACTTTCAGGTAACCGTTACCAGCGTGGTCGTGACCAGCCAGTGACATCCTGGCAACGCTCTTCATGGCACGCCTCATGACCTTCTCACTCCGGACTCCACGACCCTCTCCATGTTCATCCTTGCCCCACCCCCCCCTCCTCCTCATTCCCCTCCTCACCCTCACCTCCCGGGCCACCTCCTGTTCCACTCCATTCCCATCTTTCTTCCATTCTTGGGACGAACAGTCAATTTTCGGTGCCAGCGGCCCGTTTTCAAGGTTTGCGGCCAGTTTTGGAGGTTGGCGGCAAACTTTCGAGGCTTGAAGCAAGTTTTTTGGGCTGGCGGCCAGTTTTTTGGGTGTCCAGCGCTCCTGGAGGGGCGGGTCTGCCAGACCGCCCCTGGCAGGCTGAGAGGGGCGGGGTGCTCGACGGTGCTCGACGGTGCTCGACGGTGCTCGACGGTGC